TTGTTTGGAAATGAAAATCAAAGATCCCACTATTTCACTTAGTCTACTAATCGAAGTTTTGGTAAAAATAAATCTTACATTCAATAGACAGATAGATCTAATTTTTGTAACTATCTCGCATCTTGAATTTTAAGGACTAAAGTGGTAATACCATAATTCAGCCAAGACAGATTCAATTTTTCCTATGACTTGCCTAACATAGCTTTCAAGTCATTTTTTCTTAGAACCCAAAACCTTTGATAGAACTCTATTGGAAAGCCATCAGGACCCCGACTTTTATCATGTTCCATTGGAAAAAAACCTTATGGATCTCTCCCATAGAAAATTCTCCAATAAGTTTATTAGCATCAACTTCAGATATTTTACTAGCTTCATAGATATTCAGAGAAATACTAAACTCGTTAGGTTTCCTAAATAGTTATATTTCATGAAATTATCTTTCCCAGTAATTCCCTGCTCATCTTGCTCCAAACAGGTAATAATGCCCCCCCATTGGCCTTGGCTTGATAATACCTAGTATTAGAATCACCCTCTATGATTTCTTTTTCTGTACATCTTTGTAGCCCTTTTAACTCTTCATGTCTCAACAATCTATTCAGTTGCCCCCTAAGATCTTTTTGCTTCTGCCTAACATCAATGGTGAGTATAAAATATTCGGTGCTTCTCAATAGCATCTAATTTTCCTAGAATATTTTTCCTTAGTTTTCTATATCAAGAAGTAACATTTTTATCCCACCCTCTCAGTTTTTTCCTAAGTGTTCTCAGTTTCTTCTGCCATATTTCAATACTAGATCGAGAATATCCAGCATTCCAGACTTTGAAAACCACCTCATTAAAATCCTCTCTCAGAATCCAAGAATTTTCATATATAAATATAGGAATTTTGTAATTGTGTTCACTGGTGTCTAGAATTAGGGGAGTATGATCAGCAATCTCCCTTTCTAATGGGGTAACTGTAGCCAAAGGATATTTCTCTTCCCAATTAGGACACAACAATTTTTGTCAAGTTTTTCAAATGTAGGATCCTCCAAATTATTTGCCCAGCTATAATTTCTATCACCCAAGGGTAGTTCTCTAGGCCCGACATGTTTAAACATTAAAAGCAAAACTCTAATGGCCATGAGTATTGGGTTTATTCTTTTTAGAGCTCTTTCTAATTATGTTAAGATTCCCTAGGAAAGGCAAAGCATTTTGTATATATAACATGGATACTTTAGCTGAAAATTCAACTTTCCTCTTAGGTTAAGCGGCTCCATAGAAAATATTTAAGTTTATTTCATGGTCAAATCAACCTTCTTATCATAAACCAACATTCTCAGAAAGTATTCTCCATGTTTAGTATCTAAAATTCCTAAAAAATCTTCATTCACACTCATTAGAATTCCCATGTTGCCCTCTAGGAGGAGCACTAATGCCATTTAAAGGCCCTCCCCCCCACAATAAGAGTGCAATTCATTGTTAGTAAAGTGATCTTTTATGGTTTCCCGAATCCCCAAGAAATCTAAAGAGAAATCCACTACAGTCTCTCTAATAAATATTATTTTAATTTCTCCACCGATCCCTCAAGCATTCCAAAACAAGCCTTTCATTTTTGTTCTCACTTTTTAATGTTCTTTTTGCTTTTTTAGCAGATCTATTAACATGTATACGTTTCGGAAATTCAATTCGGCTCCTGGGAGCACGTGCTCCCGGGCCCAAAAATAGTTTTTGAAATGTCAAAAAAATCAAGACAAAAAATTATGTCTTCTTACTCACATCCAAACGCTATCTACAAATTTTGAGGCAAAAAGGTTAAGCATTTTGGTATGTGCAAAAAAATTGAACACCAAATGTCACCTCGAATTTGTTTTTTTCACCGACGACACACTAGTGCTCCGTTTCGCATGAAATTTGTCAAGCATGCTTGCGACACTAACACAAACATCTATTTTTTTTAGAATTTTTTGATTTCTTACATGTTTTTTGAATTTACTGTTCATCCGGGAGCATATGCTCCCGAGAGCCAAAACGCCCCTCCCTATACCTTCCTTCAACCTAGCAATTACAGGAGATTAGACCTCCCTATTTTTCTTAGAGAAAAAAACTTTTTAATTTTTTCCAAATATTTTCTTCCAAGTCAATATCAGAGTTATCCCTATCAGAACATAATTCATTTAAGACAGCACCTCCAGTGGCAATATGACCTGGAGAGCTAGCAAGCATATCACTATCAGTATTATTATCATGCCCAAAGATCATATCTAATCTATCAATCTCTAGAGTTCTCATCATTTTGATATTATGCCCAATCAAATCCATAGTGCATCCTAAATCAATACCAACGCAAGAAGACATGGTTAGCAATGAAGTATTATTAATATCCAAAAGATTAGGGATAAAATCATTATCATACATAAGTGTCTTTTGCAGCTGCTCTTTCCTTAGCCATGTCTTCCACTCTCACATCCTCCCTATCTTTAAGTCCGGGGCATCTTGTAGGTACCCTATCATTGCCATCCTCCCCATATCCTCCTCTTGCCCATCAAAATCAGTAATACGAGTAATCCTTGTCATCACAACTCCAAAGGAATTAGAACCACTTCAGTCTAATTGGCATTATTATCAATAGGTTCCAGATAGTTATCTCGTGTATCCCCAAGCTTCTACTCCATACCATTTCCTAATTCCTCCATTTCTTATTTAGGAGGCACATAACTTCTTTGGAGCATCTTATTCTGTTTTTGTAACTCCACCTATAACTTATTCCTTCCAGCTTCATTATCTCCCATTCTTTTTCGCAAATGTTAACGCCCACACGTGTGGCACGAAGTAACATGGCCCAAACGCCTCCATTACCATTCATTTTGCTACGTCAAAACATATGACATCAGCGGGAATCTTTTTCGTTTTCGTCTTAAAAATGTTTTATCTCCTAATTAAAAAATCCAATTAAAAATTTATTTTCACCATTAAATCCATCTCGACGAGATCTTAAAAACTAGATCCCATGTTAATATGTTTCAACGAATTTTTTTTGCTCAAAAGTTGCCATAGTGTTTACACTAAAGTTGTCATGTGGCAATTTTAGTTTATAGAGCATGGCAATTTTAGTATTTTGACCATGACAATTCTAGTACTTTGACCATGAAAATTATTTTTTGTATGAACCATGGCAATTTTAAGTGCATGTATCATGACAATTTTAGCTTATGGTTCATGGCAAGTCTAGTTTCTTAATTCTCTGTTTTATAATATGTAAAAATTTACTTTTAAATGTAGAAGAAAATAGTTGAAACATATCATGGCAACTTCAGTGTAAACACCATGGCAATTCATGTGCAATAGACATGATAACTTTTAACCCCCCAAAAAAGTCAGCGAAATATATTGATATGCGATCTAGTTTCCAAGATCTTGTCATGATGGATTTAGTGGTGAAAACGGATCTTCAATCGGATTTTTCATTTAAGAGATAAAACATTTTAAAAACTGGAAATCAAAAAAATTCTCACATGCATGCATGCGGTGATGTGGCGCGGTCTGTGTGTTATAAGGCGTGTGGGCGGATGTCGCTCCCACCACACGTGTGGGCGTTATCAGCGTCCTTTTTTTATCCATAACAATTTTATTTAATAGTTTGTTTAGCATTCTCATATTCCACCTCTTTCATTTTAGCATTCAACTTAAGTCTATCATCTAACGGCTCAACAAATATGGGATGTGTGTCACTAGCAACTTTCTTTGTTGTTACATTTATTTTATCAGCTTTCAAATTTCATATTGAGCCAAAGACAAACTCCCCAAATTGATAATCTCTTTCTCAGCTTCAAAACCTTTATTCTTCTTAGACTCCCCAAATATATTTGTGTCCGACTTTACTTATGAAAAGGAATTTATGATATGCCTCCAAATAATTGCTTATTCCTTCTAGAATATTATAAGCTATGTATTTATTTTTCTTTATCTCTCTATGTTATCCCGTGATAACACAATGGCAAGAGAATATAAATGTCTAAAATTCCCAGCTAATCAACGGTTCAAAGAATCAATCCAAATTCCATGCTTTGGAGATTATATTCTGAGATAAAAATTCAGCCAAGTTGCTGAAACCCACAGTGCCAGATGCTACTGGTTGAAATGAACGTAAAAGGAATCGTAGCATAAGAAAATCATGTTGAGAAAATAGTAGTCCATGAATAGTGGCAAGCATAATGGAAATGGGGAAACGGAGAACATTGGCAAGAACTAGGATTCTCCACCTTTTCTATCCTGTCCGCTCCGATCCAATAACATCGTTGTCCACCGCTTGCTTCATTCCCTCTAGGTCTCTCCTCCTTCGAGATACCCAAAATAAAAGGAGAGGGGGCAGGAGAACACCAACACAAGATTGATGGAGAGGTGACGAGCAAAAGGTGTAGGCAAAAAGAAAGAAAGAGAGGCAACAGTAAGAGGTTTGCAGTTGCAAGGAGCAACAGTTGTTGACAGGTCTACACATCAAGTCCATACCGTTTTGATGCACTTCGGTAGTCTATAGGTATTTTGCGCTCAAAATCTACTTTTGTTGATTCAGTCTGACTCCTCATTCAAAATTCAAATATACTGATGTTGTTTACCATGTATTCACATGCAGGAACGTTGGTGTCCTAACTGGAATCCTGTGAGGTTTTGCGATTGTGGTGAGAGTAGTTGACATGTTCATGCTCCTGGCCATCATGCAAATTTGGTACTTACTACATGATCTTTCGACCATTCAATCACTAATAAGTACACACCCTGTTCCTAAATATAAGACGTTTTGGCAGTTTGAAAACAGAGGTGGTAGTAATCTAGGGGTTACATGAATTTATTTTGAATTGATTTTGCCTCTAATAAGATCTTCTGAATCGGTAATAAGCTTTTATGGAGCAAGCTAGGGTACCAAGTTCTCGAGTTTTTGAACTGTTTTTTGGCGCTTTTGTCCGACTTCCCCAGTTACTAATCATAGGAGGAGAATCTAGCTTGTTGGCACATTTTGTGACAAAATGGACGACGGACTATACCTTCCGATCCCCAGCCACCTTCTGTTTCCATATCCTGAGATCTCCCACGGCTTCGATGATGAGTTCCTAGCGTGTACTCACACACACACCTGCAACGTTCCATCATGGCCGGCCGCGGCGCACTCCCACACGTGCCTGCACGCGCACACCCAAGTCATAGCTTCCGGCGAAGATCACGCGGAGCATGACCAGCTGAGGAATCTCCGGAAGCCTCTGGGGAACCGTGAGGCCGTGCGCAAGTACCGGCAGAAGAAGAAAGCCCACGCAGCCTTCCTCGAGGAGGAGGTCAAGAAGCTCCGCGCCGCCAACCAGCAGCTCCTGAGGCGGCTGCAGGGCCACGCGGCGCTGGAGGCCGAGGTGGCGAGGCTGACGGGCCTCCTGCTCGATGTCCGAGGCAAGATCGATGGGGCTGAGATCGGCGGCCGGCCGTTCCAGGAGCGGTGCAGCTTCGGCTCTGTCGTCGGCACTGCTGCAGAACCGACAGCACCATGCTTTGATTCTGGCAGTGCTGAGGTACCAGCGGCCTGGGAGACTTGCGAGATCGATGGCGGTGGCATCGTTTCGGGAGAACTTGGTGTTCCTGAAGTGGTGGATGCTGTTGCCAGCTTCGTGAACTCTCCTGCATAATTGGATGAAGTTCTTTGTACCCAAATACAGTATCAGATAGAAAATGGCTTCCTTTCATATAGCCTACTTGAATAAATGGTGGCTGGGAACAGAAGTGTGGAAGTGAGACACCCTATCAAGGTCTTGCTGATTATACTTCTGTTCTGAAGTGTTCGGTTTGTAATGTACTTGTTGTGTTTGTATTGGATGGAGCTACTAGTAAGTTGACCCAGCATGATCTGTGCTTTCCAAAGTGCCCTTAGGTTGGTCTTCTCTGGAATAATTAACCACTGTTTAAAAATTCAGTTGTGTTCTGTAATGGGATAATGATCTGTTTACTGTGTTATCTTCAGTTAAATGCAACTTGGAAATGTCTTATTTTTTCCCTTGAATACTTGGCTCTCTGGATATAATTTTACTATCTAGATTGATTTTGCTGTTACAGAATTAGGATACCTATCACATGTACTGTCTAAACGTTTACTCCTGCGAATTTATGTTGACAACCTTCTCCATCATTCATTTAAATGTCTGGACGAAGAAACATCGTCACACAAATCGGAGTGCGCTAGCTAATGTTTCCTTTACGAGATCTCGGCTCTTCAGAATGATTGGAGAGAGCCCCGCCTCCTCTTGGTTGGTGCCGGGCCTAAGAGTGATGGGACTGCTTCTTTAAAGAGCCTTTCGTTGGGGTGGCAGGTGGTGCCTTGATCTATCAATTGAGGGAGCAAAAAACAGGTCCGCTTCGCTCCCCCTTCTTTAAACGAAGAAATAAAGAAAGGGGAAGTTTAGATCCCTCATAGTAGTTCTACCCACAGAAAAGATCATGAAAGAGGCTATCAGAATGGTACCCGAATCCATTTACAATCCCGAGTTTCCAAACACATCGCACTTCCGCTCGGGTCGAGGCTGCCACTCGGCCCTCAGATGGATCAAAGAAGAGTGGGGAACCTTTTGCTTATTTTTGGAATTCGACATCAAGAAGTGTTTTCACACCATCGACTATTGTACACCCACGGCCTTTGACAACGTAAGCACAACAAAATTCACAAGACTTACTAACTGCAATTTACGCATTCCCACGCAAAAACTGCAATTTACGCATATTGCTTCACTGTTTTGCAGTATATAATTAGATGTTTGAATTTCAGAGAATAATTCGGTAAGGCCATCATGAAGACATAACATAGCTTCACAGGTCGCAAGGCCAGGCAGTGCCACTTCGCCACAGGTTAACTGGGATGCCATGAATTTCATGAGGCGAATTTTCATACTGTGATTATACCAGTTACTTCAATCAACCACGTCTCTGTGGGGTTTGAAATCATGGTTTTATGTTAGTGTCTAGATATTGAGGTTTTGCTAGCTTTATTCTAAACCTAAAGGAAGCCTTGCTAAAATAAATTATTAGTAAAGTTTGGTTTGTACCTAAATGGCACCACAGGTAGAGAATAATTAATTTAACGTTTTTCTCACCAATGCAACTAATTTAGTATCAAAATGTCATGATATACCTTGTCTTGCTAATCTGGTAGTGTTGGCCCACCTGTTTCAAGCAAAATGGCACGTGATAAGAATGAAATGTAGACATATTGATATTCGGCATTTATTATAGGTTGCAAAGGCATGCACTGATGGGCTGATAGACGAAATGGAGAATGAGAAGGGACTAATTGACTCGTACTCATGCTAGACCAATCGAGCAACCTATACCAGTCGCGTCGCTTCCACACACAAGAAACACATCAGCAATACAACTAATGAGTAGTTGTCCTATTGACGGACCACATGTGTTTCAACCATCAATTTAGGAAAATATTTGAACATGATACTTTGTTATATTCTAGCTTATGTTAGGCACATTGAAAAATATCTTTAAACATAACATTTGTTGATACTTATGCCAACTTTGGGAATGCAGAATATATTTTTGCCTACAAAAGCATATTAATAAAACATGATATTGAGCACAAGAAAAGAAAAGGGCAAACACAAACACAGAGATAAATCTTACAGAAATCCTTAGTCACTTTTATTAATGCATTGGAAAAAGGACACATGAAACGTGGTGTTCATATGGCATACAGCTTGCATGTGGACAGAAAAAAGGAAAGATAGAGCATATGTTGACTACTTGGTGCAAGTGCAAAAAAGAATAACAACCAAGAATATTGGATGATTCTAGGCGAGTACTCATTCTAAAAGATCATGATGGCTACTTCATGCCAACAAGAATAACAAGTTAAACTATCAAATGGTTCTAGAATTGTTTCCACCTAAAATAAACTATCTTCTAAGTGTTGATAAACTTTATTTTTTCAAATATACCATTTCTGCATTCCAAGAGATAAGAAGCACAAATAATATGAGTGAGTAGGGAAACTAAACAATTGTCATTTGTGAGAACTTTGGGGCTCAAGAAAACCGTACGTAACATTGCAAGATGATGATGTTGTTGGAAATACCTAGAGGCAATAATAAAATGGTTATTATCATATTTCCCATTCATAATCATGAATGGGAAATATGATAATAACCATTTTATTATTGCCTCTAGGGCATATTTTCAACAGTCTCCTACTTACACTAGAGTCAATAATTTAGTTCACATCGCCATGTGATTAACACCCAATGGGTTCTAGGGTTTGATCATGTTTTGGTTGTGAGAGAGGTTTCAGTGAACGGGTCTGTAACATTCAGATCCGTGTGTACTTCGCAAATATCTATCTCTACAATGCTTTGCATAGAGCTACTCTAACTAATTGCTCCCACGTCCAATACGTATATAGATTGAGACTCAGAGTCATCCAGATCGGTGTGAAAGCTTGCATCCGAATCGGTGTCAAAGCGTATTGACACATACATGTAAATCTGACAAAACATGGAGTGGTTTAGTAAAGGGCTTGTTTAGTTGGCCAACTTTAAAGTAAATATAATTATTATTATTGAAGTTGTAGAGGAATGAATAAAATTTACAACGATTAAGAAGTATAATAGTCACTGGCGAAACAAACACAATCCCTTTCTTCTTGAAGATCAAAGCTACGACATGGAAGCTACACTGTACCAGAAGATAACATGGCTAGTTGTTATTTGACTAAAAATGACTCTACCATATCATGCTTTGCTTATTTGAGCCAATAATAGATCTGGGATTTTATAAATTAGTCTTCGAGTTATAACGATATCATTCAATACACACAAATAAAAATCATTAGTTTCAAAATTGTAAGCACATTTTTCTGAAAGTTTTAAAATTTTGGAAACCAAGAAACAAAACAGTTAATTCAAGTTAAACCAACTATGCTAGCAGATATTTCTATTAATAGCAACGTAGTATACACTCGAGATAAAATCTCTGGATATTCATTAAGTAGAAGGGAAACAATCTAGTTTAGGAGGGTTCTGAAATCTTAAGCTTAAACTCTTATTTTACGAAGGCACATATGCATATATTCGAGACTATACCTCCGCTCATCAATAAAAGTCTATTTTAACATGATGTGTTTATTTATACGTGATTCTTGTGCTAATGGCATGTTTGAAGTTTTAATTTTTACACGACAATTCTGAACTCCTTTTAGTTGCTTCTCTATATGTTCACAATACAATTCCCGGTACCTCTGAGCTTTTTCATCTGGTACTTCTAAGGTGTGACCTTGATATTTATGGATGATCCTTGTTTGAGAACTTTTCCATCTACTATGGTATACAGAACAGTTTGTTTTACCTGGTACTTCCGAGTTAGTTCTCTACACACAAAAGTCACATTTTGGTCTTCTGGACTGCTTATTCTTATCCCGGTACTTTTGAGTACTGTATTATCCTACGTTTCCCAAGAATTGTTCTGGCCGTTCAAATTTTGAACGCATTTTGAAGTTCCAAATAATCTTTTTCCTCCACTTTGGAACTTCTGAGCTAGTTATTTTTTCAAGTAATGGTTAGATTTTTGTCGAGCTCTATATATAAATCTGCATGCGCCATTGTTGTGGCAAGCCATTCAACTCATTTTCAC